CCCCAAAACCCCAAAACCCCAAAACCCCAAAACCCCAAAACCCCAATAAATCTATAAATGGTTGAAAATTAGATTAAAATATTGCAAAATTACTCCATAACAATTGTTTGGCAGATGCCTTCGTCTAGAGTCAGAGAAGTAAGCTTCCTATCAAAGTAACTAGTATCATAATCATGAGCCAATTCAGGGACAAAAGGAGGCTCTAGTTCTTGTGATAATCATTTATCCCAGTCTATAGATTCAAAGAATGGGTGTTGCCTAATCACCTCCATATCTCCTGCTTTTGAGCCTAATCTCATCTCTGGATCAACTTCAAGGAGTTTCCAGACAAAATCCTCTGCTATGGAAAGATTGTTCTGATATTCATTATGATCTTGTTTAATCGCTACAGCAAAGCTATTGTGCTTTGAATCTTTAGTCGACTCTCGGCCTGCATCAGGCAGACGCCCATGTATCATTGAGTATAACAAGACTCCAAAGCTCCAAAAATCAACACTTTTATTATAATTCTGCTTAGACCTCACTTCTGGTGCTAAATACTCAGGTGTGCCTCAGAAGGTGTTTGTACGTTCCTCTTGAAGCTCCTGTGGAGCTTTAAAGAGCTTCTTAGAAATCCCAAAATCGACCAACTTTATATGCCCCTGTGCATCTAATAGTATGTTCTCCATTTTGAGATCTCTGTACATATATCCTGAACTATGGAGGTACTCCAGGGCCATGAAGATTTCGGCTGCATAAAACCGCACAGAATCAAGAGGGAATTTCTTCTTCTTGTTGTAATGGAACCTGAGACTGCCTCCTGAGGCAAAGTCCAGGACAAAGTAGACCCTCTCCTTGGATTGGAATCAATCATTCATCTTTATCACAAAAGGGTGTAATACCTTAGTTAAAATCTCTTTCTCAGTGTTTAAGTGTTCGTAGTGTTTTGGCCTTGAGAATAGGTTTTTACGGATTATTTTCATGGCAAAGTACTTGTCAGCCTCTTTATTTATGCACTAATACAACCTCTCCGAAAGCTCCCTTACCAATGAGCTTGATGGGGGTGTAGGAGTTCTCGATCCTACAGCTTTCCTCCATGTCTAAGGGGATCTGAGACTGATGTTTGGGAGAAGTTGGCAGGGCTTTCTTAGCCGATGGCCTTGGCTCGACCGTTTGTTTCAGACAATTTGATCCCATTACTTTATTTATTGTATATTTTCAATCGTATTAGTACTTAAGGGGTTTTGGGGTTTTGGGGTTTTGGGGTTTTGGGG